TAATAGCACCGTAATAGCAGTCGTAGTAGAGGCAAAGCAATGGGAGAATTAGAGGCCCTTATATGGAACCGATCTGAACAGAGGATGGTCATTGAGGCAAAGCTTCTATTGCATTTGTATCCAACATCTGGCACGCGCCAACATTTGTTCTTATTATGAAAGTAAATTGCTTGATCACGAGTTTGTTTTCTCGCATTTGCGGGCCCCTTTTCCGACGATGAATTCGGCCAAAAACGCATGCGGCCGGATATACATGTAGTGCACGTAGAGCTCGTACTATGTGCTTGATTTAGCTTGCTGGGCTGCTCTTATCGTGTTTTCGGCTGCAAACTGGCCTGTTGTATACGTTAATGGTTAGAAAGGCTACCCTCATTTACTTAGCTCAAAGCTACGGGACGAACGTTAACAGAACTATTGGCTGTATGAGTGCTCAGACACCGAATTCGTCAAATAAAATAAGTGTATAGGCTATTGAAGCAATAAAGGCTTCGAAACGGCCCTTATTCAGACATTACGAATTGAGTGAAGGCTTTTATACAATATAGCAAGAAGGTACGGATAGAGTGCGTCAATGATATCAAAACAGTGACATGAATATAGCTAATGAGAATTAGGGCAATAGTTTGGCCTAAGTCAGATTTGATTATGACTTGTATTTTTTGTGAAATTGGTAGCCTTGTCTATGCAAATAAACAAATCGTAAAACGAGCTTCCGGAAAATATCGACGACGTCTACTTGAGATCTGAGGTTAGATGTGCGATACGTTTGAAGCGTGCGCACATTCGAAGAAAGGCTCCACATCTCCTGCAAGTCTATATCTGAGGATCGATTGCAGCCTGTTTGTTAGCATGAGCAAAAAATTGACCTAGTTTCAGGAACAATATTTAAAAATAGAGATGATCTCTTAGATCAGTGATATGTACGAGTGGACGTACGGTGGGAATAACAGCCTTATGATATATAGCCACGTTACCATCAGGTTGGCAAAGCTAAGGTCTTTCAGGCAAGAGCACCTAGGTTTACTCTGCGTAAAATCGACAAAGTCGACCCGCTTTGTAAAGAGACAGTCGAGACCATGTACTTCCGTTAAACTCCTACTACTAGTAGACCTGAGCTACGTTCTCCGGCGCAGTTTTGTGTGGTAGAAGATTTCGTGGTAGCGGCATGTATTGCAATGGAGGCAGGCTTTCGACATGTGTGCGCTTTCTTTTTTTAGCTAACTTTCAGAATGCTTTTCGGAACCTTCGGAGTTTTCAGAAACATGTCGAAGGTTGTTGATAGAATCCATATAACTTGAAACAAAAAATTCTAGGCCTGTTTTTGTTTTATTTTAAATCTACTTTTCGAGTGCTTACATAGAAATATCCTCAAAATATGTTTGGTCAGATTGCTGACGACATCAAGGCCATGCAAAGACAACATATAATCCAAAGTCGAAAGCATAATGGACATACATACTGTATGTTTACATACATACAGACATATAACTAGCGTGCACTTTCCGCCCACATGAGAGGTCTTTTTGCCGTAAGTTCAGCAAAGCTTCCAAGACCAACCAAAGGTACAATTTTACTTATGATCAGATTAAGAATGAACGAGGATGATTTGAAAAACGCCGAAAAACAATCAGCGAGTTTAGTAACACTATATCCACATTCTAGTCGGATGTTTTTTGCTTTTTTTTTTTTTTGTTATTATGCTAGGACACTTCGGTATGATCTTCGTTAGAAGAAGGAGCCAGATACGCTTACATATATTTAATTTAAACCTACATATTTCTGACATCGAACTAAGGTGTTCCGGTGGTTGTTATAATACTGTGCTTGTAATTACTGCCGCAATCTTTCCTGCTTGTGTTTCTCATTAATGGTTGTTTGTTGTTACTTGTTAGTTGCGATTTGCGCAATAAGGTCCTGTGTGTGCGCAATAGGACATTGCGGTTATGACGCCGAATAATGAAAGGCTCCGTGAAAATCATTACGACGTAGGCTACTATTCACGTATATTAAATCTTACGTATCGAAAAATTACATAGTGGCTTGGAGTACGAGAAATTCGTTCTGCTTCAACTTTTACATACCTTACATATATTCCCTTTTTGTTGTGTGTCCTTTTATAGTAACGCTATTCTTCGGATCCACCATTGCTGAGCCTTAACAGCTTAGTTCTGCTCTATGCCTTGAGGAATTCCCAGATGCTTCCATTCTTCTAAAACTCAACCCGATCAAGCTTCCTTCGTCATCTTCAAAACAATTTTCCCTGATGCTGTGTTTTCCTACAGCAACTTTAAACGCCAGGTGTGCCATCTCCATAACCAGCGTGCTATAACTTCAAGTCCCTTTGGAGATCAGGCGGATCAAACGTCTCTGGGATTTCCGCGTGCTAGAGTTAGTCAGAAAGAAAGATATAGAGATCCTAGCAGGGAGTAGAAAACTAAAGCTACCAAGGGCGTGTCATCATCATCATCATCACCACCACCATAATCATCACTGACGTCATCATCAACAAGAAGGCAAACAAATCACTTGCATTTATCACCGCTGGGAACAGGCCGAGGTCTGGCTGGACCGACAAAGCCAGATACTCCGAGTTAGCGTTAACTACCATTACTAGTCGAAACTGGTAAGGTATGACCGGCATGAAGCAGGGCGAGCAATCTTCCTCCTGCCGTAGTTACCCCTGTCACCCTACTGACAGAGCTACTAAACGCGATTCAGCAGGGGGTGACGGGTATGCGCCCGTATACCTCTCAAGCTCCTGCGTAGCGCAGGAGTCGAGCACTGGATGACTTGCTACTTCGAAATAGCCAGCTGTCGGCTGGCTGAAGAGCATTAACACGTTTGTTGGGGAGTAAGGCATAAACAGTGGCGATTAGATGGGAACGCAGAACAGCAGACGGACGGGTGGTCACGCCGCAGAACAAATTGTTACAGTAGAACGGAACGGGACGCCGTTCTTGAACAATGCACGCTCGTTACTGCTTTTATAAGGACAATATTCATCTTCTATGTGGGACACAAGCTTGCTTATACCCAAGTGCCCATATATATATATATATATATATAGTATCATGTGTAATTAAAAGCTGACAATGTTCTAAGCAAATTAGACGTTTCTAAATCTAAAACTGTATTCTCTCAAATTGGACGACGATCTATTTTTTTGGAATGTAATTATGTCGTTGACTAGAAATTAGATGGTAATTCGCTACACGAACTCTAGCTAGCAAATTCGTCACCAACGTCGTATTAAAGGACTCAAGTAAGTATCAAGTCACTATGACATTGAATACTGAAACGTAGTTCATAAGGTTGAATATATTACTTACTACTAAGCTAATACTGCGGTCTGTCAATCCTGTCTTTGAGATACAGTCTAAAATGGGGTCTACGAACACGATACGTGGCATTATCACCATTGATATTGTCGTTAAACGTACCGATAGATGTTATATTAGCAGTTTCACAGCAAGCCGTCACACGCTATGAATGAACTGCTAGACCTCCTGTCAATATTCTAGCAACGTCACCGCACTGAATAGAGCTTTATGACGTTTTCATATTTATTAGCTTTTATGTGAAGACTATTTTGTTGAAATCCCTATCGTTAATATTGGCTGTTATAGGAGATAGGTTGAATTGCTAAGTGTGTCTTTCCGCCGCCCCGTAGCGTGAGCATAGACTCGTCTATTCCACTATTGCGCCTAGGACACGTTGTTTCTGAGTTCCTGTTTTTCCTCGGGGCATAGGAGCAAAAAAACTCAATTGCACTCGGAAAGACGTGTTTGGGACTGAACGGATGTGTGTATACGGGTGTTGAAATCATTCCTCCAAAAGATACCTCAGTGCGGAATTTAAATATGCATACAGTGGTTTTAAAATGTATCAACGAATCTCAATGAAAGAAAAAACTAACATTTTAGGACTAAATATTGTTTCTTAAATAAAGGGAAACAGCAAAGACGTATCTTGCCTTGCTAATACCCACTTCCATTTAAAAGGATTTTAATATGATGTAGGGTCAATTCTACCCGTGCAGATCGTTCAGCAAAGCCACTTTGCTCGGACCAGCAGACAACTTCACAATTCAGTGAATTAACCGAAGTCGTTAAACAGCGTTATCAGCTCGCCCATTGTACTCATAGGTAAGTTTGAGTCAAAGTATGCTGATGAGGCGCATAGGTCTTCTGTGAGGCAACGAATAGATAAAACTGAAACGTTAAGCTACTGATGAGGAAAAGTTCGATGATTTGAACAGTGGTAAATTGAACACATTTCTATTAAAAGCCTAAAAAATTAGTCGAAGCTTGCAGAATACGGTTAATTTTTCTGCCACTGAAATAATCACAATGTCGCGACGTGCCTCGAACGTCAACATTGACAAGACGTACGTACCCTTGTTTAGTCAATGTTATGCTTATCAAAAAATCAAATTATTGGTGATATGTGTACTTGTTAGTAGCGTTTTATATATTCTTAAAACAAATTCCCCACTACACTCGAAGTGATAATAACCTCGTGATGACGAACTAGCTGAAGTGGAAATCAACAGAAATTAATGCTACTTACAAAAAAAATAACCTTTTCCATATTAGGTATTTATAAATCATTTACCCCTATTGATATGTGCTTGCGGTAGGTTGGCTTGTTCGACAGTGAGGTTTCGCTATATGTGCAAAGACTGCACACAAACAACTAACTAAGACTAGTGTTATACAGATTCAAAGGGCAGCTCGAGGATTGCCTTAATGACTTAGATTTTGGAGATATTTGCCTTGTCCAACTAGGAACTCTATTCAGCTTTAAAACGCTTTGCGCTTTTTAGTGGACGACAAATTTCCAGCACGGACACCTAGACTTGTACCGGCAACCTAATAACTTCCGTTCCCCAAAGAGAAAGTAGATTCAAACTGAGTTTATTATTAGTCATTGCTTGCAGATGCACGATTTAGGTGTGCATGTTCCTTCCAGTCTGTTAGATGCCTGCTGTCACGCGCAACCGTTCTCGTGTTGTAGGATTGTACCGCTTCTATGAAGGCTTTGTCAACCTTTCTCTATATAGACATACAAATACACGTAAACCAATTCCCTATTCTCATTAGTTGAAAATTATTTTCGATCAGTGACAAAAATAGCTGGTATAGGAAAAAAGTCATCTATGCGCCAATCCTGAACAAAAATAAAGCCCTTAACCGTAATACGTTATTTCTTTATTAAGAAAAAAAACGAAAAATGGATAAATCCATAATGCCATCAAGCTGATACGAAGTTCGGACTTTTTAGGATTTTTTTCGACTAATCGTTCAGTTGTTTATTTCCTGGAAGGATAGTGAGTACGCGAATAGAATAAAAGTAACGTGGCATCTAAAAACTAAAAATGAAAACATTAGTGCGATAGACTGAAATGGTTGAGGTAACTTCAAAGCAGCCGAAATTACTCAAGGAGAACTTGTTTGAGATTTTCAGGCAGCTCACTACCGTCAAACTATGTAACACTACACTAAGGATAGTAAAACTAATAACTTACGACAGTTACCTTATTTGTCGCTACCCCATGACAATGGCCGTCGGCGGATTTACCGACTGCTGTCTTAGCATGAAGGATCCACTGAGTGAATCCTCAGTGATCCTTTTCAACAAGTTTGCATCCTCAGGCTCCATCCTTTCCCTGACTTCAAGGGCTTTCGGATAGGAACGGCATTCACCCTGCAAAACCGAGACTTCCATCTTTTCTACTACTGACAGAGGTGCTGATGTGGCCTGGTCTTGCAGTGCTTCTTCCATCAATGCACGCCAGAATTTTCATCGTGAAATCACGGTAGGGCTTTTCCAAATCTGTAATACCACCGTATCCGCTTAGCACAGGCTGGGTCTTTCTAGTTAATAGTATGCTTCGTAAAAGCACCAGTCCCCTCTACGTTTTTAACAGGCGTAAACATGGAGGAATAATTTACCCTTCTATCTGCAATAACATTAATGCTGAATGAATATCCTGCTTCACCAGGGTCTAGATTTCTAGAACGGTTCTCTAAAAAGTTGAACTTCAATCACTTGTAATAGTTTGTTTGGGTCCTTGAGAATGAAACCGGTGCGTACAGATTCAGTCCTATTTCGGCTGTGGTTACGATCACAGATACATATTGCAGTTCTGCGTCAAGCTTATCGTCCAGAGTGTTGTCGTTTTATGAAGTAGTACGGTAGGATATCCATGCTGGACGCCCTTTGCAGAAGGAATAACGCACCTCCCTAGAAGCAGTTTAGTATAGTTTCTGTCCGTATAGTCCGTAGTTTATAAAACTCCCAAAGCAATTCGCCCCCCCCCCCCGTGACGGCATTGAATGCGTCCTTAAAGTGCGATGCGGCTTTGAACATGCTCGGTCAGCCCGCGTACTTGTGGTTGTTTTATTGCCTTATCCTAGCTGGTACGAATCTAGAGTATTTTGAGTTTCCTTTTATGCCACTTGAATAAACAAACGGGCATTAAATAAAGCCGACGAAGACCCTCCAGTAACAACATTCATCAGATAGTATCGATGCGCTTACCAAGAGTAACTACAAGCATTATCACTAGACAACTTTAATGGCTGGAGAGAGCATTAGAATATCATTAGGTGTTTTGCGTGCCTAATTTTCACTGCTTCTGTGGAGTTTACAATGCGTCTGACGAACGAAGTCCTATAGTAGCATGGCAATGATACAGAAGCTGCTTTGCCATCTCTTGTGCGAATAAGGATAGAGCCAAGTGCAGTAATCGGCAAGGTTGGACCGGATTACTGCCGATAGAGAACTTTTTTGTTTATAGGTTTACCCTTAGCGACAACGCCAAACGTTCCTGCCGGCTCTGTATTGTTCCGAGATGCTGTAAGCCCTAGCATTTCCGCGTAAGCTTCCCCAACTGAAATACGACTCACCTATGCACTTACGTTAACGACGCGAATTTCTACAAGTAAATTAACTAATTAATAAAAGAATCGATATACCACAGTATATACACACTCGCACTATTAGTTTTTAGTAACAATATATAGAAAAGGCGAAACCCGTCACAAACAAACACGCTTTCACAAGTTAGCAAAAAGAAATTACTAAGCCAGGAACTAGTTTAAAGATTTAGTGTTTTTTTTTTCTTTTAGAAAAATATTTACATTCGATTTCACAAAGGGACATTTGTAACCGTGTCATTTTTACAATTCCTCTACAGTTAATAATAGACGAAATAATAACTGCACAGTGTCAGCATCAATTTCCCTCTTACGTTTAACTTAGGACAGGGCGAATCGAATACCCATATAATAGTCATAACTTAACAGACGTAAATCAATAGTGGCATACGGTTACAATCATACTTACAATACAGACAAAGTTAACTAGTGAATTCTTCCAACAATAGTGGCATACGGTTACAATCATACTTACAATACAGACAAAGTTAACTAGTGAATTCTTCCAAGTGGCAATTAGTAACTTAAGGACTAGTAATAACTGCGGTGAACTAAAAACGCATTGATACATAAGTGAATCGATTAATAGCTTATACTGTGAGAGTTACTATCCAAACGGTCTTCGAGTGTCATAAATTGTCTGACCACTTTTGCGACCGCTGTAGGATTGCTTTCAATATTATGACCGAGATTTCCTTGTTCCGTAAAATTGTTCATGGCTATTCTGGCTGACGAATTCAATGTATTCCTGATGTCGGTTAGTGCCATATATATGGCAGTGCCCTGATCCACTTCGACAACGGCGTCGTCTGCTGGGTGCAAGATTAAAGTGGACAGCGGTTTCCGTTTAACAATGACCCTTAACGAATCAAAATTTGTGTTTGAATCACTTTGTAGTGGTTCGACGAAAACGCGCTCGAAAAAAGGTAACCACCTCCAGAACCTGTTGAACTCCAAGGCGTTCTGTGCAGCTTTTGCCGTACTTTCTACGGGCGTTTGCAGCACTAACATTTTAAGGTCCGCTGACTTCTGGAAGGCAATATCGGTAAGTAACTGCAGCGCGACCGCGCCACCCCACGTGTCCCCCCAAATAATAATACCTGCGGAATTATTCGCATTAGTAACTTGTCCTTTTAGGTAGTTATACATACTGACAGAATCCTCGACGACGGTTTGTACGCTTGGCAAGACCTCATCACTATCAGCGATTCCCCTATAATCAAATGCGAGTACATGGTAGCCAAGATCTTCTGAGATGATTTTATGGAGAGCTAACCTTCGGGTTGCAGCGCGAGTTTCTCCAAAAGTAGGCACAAATAGCACTGTAGGGGTTAAGGCCGCGTAAGGTTGCACTTCACCGCAAGGTTGACTCGCTGCAGGCGGCGTATACCACGAGCCTATCGCACCGTATTGAGTTTTAATCAGCAGATTCGTGCTGCAACGGAAGCCTAATGCGGATGGCGTCTCGAGTTCACTAGGCGAACTTCGTTGCCACCCCACGAACATCAGCTGGCGTCTAAACTCTGGGTTCAAAAAGATCACTAACGGAATAAGGAACGCGTACACTAATATAGACAACAGAGCAATCAAAACCAAGACTCCAAGTATCGTGTAGCATATGCGTTTGGCGATAACTTTTTTGCTTGGCTGAGGTTTTCCTTGTTTAATTGTTTTAATAGTGAAAATAACGCTTTTATTTATATTCACTAGGGCTTTTTTCGCCGATCCCTGCTTTTCTTCTTCTTCATTGCGTACTTTCAGAGCTGTCGACTGCGGGCCCGGCCACCGGTTTCGTTTCAGTTTAGAATAGCGTTCTAAATCTTCCGTAGTGGGCGATACCGAAACGCTTCCGAAGAAAGTTGGATCTGAATCGACAGACATGCCGTTTTTTTGTTTCCAAACTTTGACCCAAGCGACTATTCACACAAGCTGTCTGTTTAAAGTAATATCGGAAGTTTTTTTTTCGGCAGCACGACTGAGTTGCTATAAAAGTGTGCTTCAATACCTATCATAACTAATACGATGAAGAACACCGAGGTAAGCTTTGTTATTTCAGACAATTAATGAACGTACGAATCGAAACTATTCAATTAACTAAACTTCAAATTCACGTACAGCTGTGTTTCATAACAAGCAAACCTAGCAATTGTTTGTTAAAACCTCGCAGATGTTGAATCTAGCAATGTGCCTTGCTCTTCTGGGGAGCAGGGCCAGCTTGACATAGAAGTAAGGTCGTTTATGCCACCATCTGCGCGCCAGCAGGGCAGACAAAAGTCGTCGTAATTTGATCTTACTTCTCTTTTTTACTTTATATATCTAGATGTAACGTATGAATGCTAAATAAATTAAGCTCATAATCTTAATTTACATAAATGAATTTTGCTAAGTGTTATAGTTGGCTAATTTTTTCTGCCAGTGACAAGTAATTGTTGATGTAGTACCTAACCCATACGTCCGCATCATGGCCTAGACACCTGTAGATTCGGACTGATCAAAGGACATGTCTTACAATTCCTTAGGTTCGCGTTTTAGATAAAAGCTACCGTCAAATTTTAGCGCCTTTCCGTCCCTCAGAGCAAGCACCTTGAACCTACTGAGCAAAGACAATTAAATCGATGGGCTATTTGATAACGTTCTTTACCTTCCAGACGGTAACAACGGAGAGGCTACGTATATAATGGGTTCACTACAAAGTGTGTGGACAGTTTCGGCAAAATCTAACATTAGGGGAACAAAAATGTAAAGGAAGCATGCGCTGCCCTTCGACTTCTTCACAAATTTAATTTAATCCAATTAAAAATGGGGTAATTGTCACTCTGGATGTGAAAAGATTACTTTGCGTTGAGGCAGTAACACAGCGAAGTGTCGATCGATATAATTCTCCTCAACAAACGATGTAATACTGATACCTTCGCGTGATAGCCCGTTTGGCTTCAAGTCCAAATCGGGACATATGTCTGAGCTGGCAAATTATCCAGTGTTTTTTTTTTTGTTTTTGCTTGAAATATCAATTCAACTAAGCTATCACTAGTATTCAAGTAGCATCTGTGCTATTTAGCTGATTGAAAATAGTTTGTTATGCTGTGGGCCTGCCCTAGCGTCGCAGCCCTACATATGAAACGTTTCTTCGCTGTTTTAGATATATAGTAAAGAATAGAATTGTCTCCTTTGTGCTGAAACTACTGATGGATATATACTGCGTCCTCGGGCCGAACTTGTCAAATCCTGCCTTTATATACACTACCAACATATACTGAAATTAGTGTAGACCTTTCTCCATGAAGCCTACTTTCCGTGTGTGCACGCTGTTAATGTTGTTAGACTATTTAGAGTATGGCAAGGGTTACGTTTATGCGCAAAGTTTAAAATCGAAAAGTTCAACTTATTTCTGGTTTATTTTTAGTCAACGTTTGCAGTGCTTCCCTGAGATCGAAAATATGTAAATACGTATAGCTCGATAAAAGTGAACCTAGGCTCGTTTACCCAACATTTTTGCTTATAAACATCACCCAGCAAAACTAAGAATGCAACATATTGATCTCATTTTTGACATCCACAATAGGGACAGAAGTTACACTTAATTTTGAAATTCGCAAAATAAGTTAGGTGATTATATGGGTACTTTTACAAAAATCTTAAAATGAAAATGTATGATAATTACATATGTAAGCACATTGAGTTTTTAATCGATATAGGTTTTTTTATCGGCTGCTCATCTACTTACAGTGGTCTGGAGAAACGGCGTTAATTTTCCTGGCAGAATTTGTAAGCACCCTGAGAGTGACGTGCATTGTAATGCAAAGAAAGGCCTTAGCGTGTCCAGAACAGCGACCATGATATCCTAAACTAAATAAAGGCTTATAATGTATTCGGTCCGGAGTCCAACAAAATGGCGACTGTGCACACATTCGTATTTGCAATCGCACAGTTAATTGTACGAGATATGGTCTACAAATTCAATTTCGAAGTATGTAATTTGCTTTAGGCAGTGTCGATGTCGAAAGGATCGAGGTATCGGTGAGAAATGTAATTATAACGTGTATTGGGAATTGTCTGCAACCCGTGTACAGGCAGAGTTACTTTTCAGAATGAACGTTGAAAAATCAAACCAGAAAGGACGTCATGTGTAGGGCAATCTGACCTGATATTTGGCATGAAATAGGTCGTCTTGTTATAACTCCCAAGAAAAAAGTGCCCCGCGTTTTATGTCTGGTATCACAGCGTTAGGCATTCCATTAGGCAGACAGCTAGCTGGCTTCCAGGCATCACGAAACGAAGTCTGTCTGTCTATGCTCGAGTTCGAACCTTGACCATAATTTCTTCCTAAGGTTAGGGGCAAATACGTTACCCATTAAGTTATCACAGGAACAAGAAAAAAGTACCTATAGGCCCTGTACAAACGAATCAAGTCAATGGTTGGCAATACTATGTTATAGCACATAATGCTTTACGAGCATGTTTCTAATATACGATTGAATTTGGTGTATCTAACGGATAACGTTTTAGTACCAGAGAGCGGCTCTCTATGGCTTTAATGATTAAACTGTCCAAGCAGAGAAGCCGTACTTTCTTTAAGCACACTTGAAGGAACAGAAGAACGAATTGTTGATCCCACTGCCGTCATTGAGACGAGTGGAGTTTCTAAGCTGCTATTGGAAACCGCGGTCTTTAAGTTTGACGAGTTTCTTTCGTTTCCACTCTTGGGAAACGGCACTGTATAAAGGGTAGCACTCGTACTAGATCATTCCTGCTATACCCATACCGTAAAAGATCGTAAGGACCTTCTTCGTAAGTATCCCAGCGGTGCGAATGATTTATCAGGAATCACACCATAAAGAAAGTCGCAGCCCCAAGGGGCCTTGCCCTATGAAGAGGTGCACAAGAAAACGAAAGGGACCTGCTTTACTTATACTAGGACTGCGTGGGCCTTAAAATCATAGTACACTTGCTCTTGAAGCTAGTATTTGTATTTTAGAAACGTCATAAATAAACAAGACACTTCTCAAATTACGTGCTGTTTTTGTAGTGGCTTTTTGAACCATTACATTTTTATCCTATTTAATATCCCAGCACAACGGGAACGCGTGTACACACTGCAAGAATCGCTATACAAGAAGCCACCTCAATCAACCATGTTTATAACAAAAAAATACTATAGAATTATAGTTTATACAAGTTCATAAAGAAAGCTGCCAATATCTTCAAAATGCCTTTTCAATGAACGGTTTAAACGCACCTGACCTCGTAAGTCCTATAGAAGGGTGTTGGTGCAGCGCAACCGAAGTCGTCCAGATTCACCCACAGAGATGCATCCAAGTTCTCATACAAGATGTTGATACGGAGAAAAAATAGGCTGTCTCTAAAGGCATAATGTAAGTTCTGATATGAGTTTAATGTAAACGATTCCAAATGAATTTCAATATTGTTTTCTTTAGCTATTCCCATACACCGGCCTAACTGGGTCGTGCTATGTAAACGTTGGTCGCGGCGAAAAGCAAACGCCCTAAAAAAAAATGACAGTAGAAATACGTGAGAAAATTATAAAATGAAGACTTGAGGCTGAAAATTAGACCTTCCATTAAACATGGTTTCTGCAATGAAGCATAGTTGTAATTAACAGAGAGGCTTACGGTCCTAACTCTTTTGTATAAATTAGTTTTCTTTAACCAAAATTGTGTTAAAGGTCCGCTCTTTAAGTTCGTGCTAAGACATATTTTGAAACACTTCAATAGCAGTTGACTTAATTATTTTCTTAACACGATATACTACAGACATTTCTTTAATGAAGGTTCCCTTTCTAAGTTTAGAAACAGATCCCTTTGCATAGAGATAAGTTCTATTCAATTCAAGCTTATTCTCTGTGATTTGCACTGTAGTAAGGGGATGATAAAACCTTACGGTTCCTTGATAAAGGCCAAAAATTAGTAAGAACGAGCGTAAAGGTGAGTAACCGAGTTATTCGTGCGAACCGTAGCACAGTACAAAACAAGCTCGTCAGAATAGGCAAATTCCCAAGTGGGTTGGTTTTGAAAGTGTCCGAAATCATATTATCTAGAAATATATTTGCTCGTTGCTAGGTCGAAACTTTTCAATAGTGGTTATTACCTAAAACTTTATCCGTCTTTGGTCGGACAGTAACTTTCTCTCTGTGTCATGATTATAACCATTTTTGAAAAATAGAACATCCCAGAATTGAACAGATCGTTCTTTATTTCGTGAGGTCTGCCAGAGGTGACGGCTTGTGAAGTATAGTTAACCATTTTACCCATCTTATTGCTGCCTTATCGTGTCTCTTCATTGGTCTGCAGCATTTTCTTTGGCTACAGCAGAGCGTGATCGGGCGATTTATTCTGCAGATCACTTACAATGGTATTCGCCCACACCTAATTGCATACTCGCGCTTGGTGCTAGATATAGATCATATAGTTTTTCCAATCTCAGTAATAGATTCTTTTTATCGACCTCCGTTCGGTCGGTCGCATATGAGATGAGAACAGATTGAGCATGCTCGCGTTTTCATAACAAAGAATTGCGAAATCTGCGGTACACGTATCGAGTTTTAACACGTCAACAAACAGCTCGTTCACGTTGTTCCATCAGTGTGTAGCTTTGAGACCGTCCCCATCTATTGATCCGCCTTTATAGCGTTGCGTCCTTCTATCTCTCCAGCCTTCTCGTAGAGAGACGCTGTTTCCCAAGCAAAAAAAAAGAACCAATATTTGTCACCAACCTAATTTGTTCTACGGACTGCCTAGTCAAGGATCTATCTGTTCAGCTATGTACTGCACTATGATAAAAAAGTACTTATCACTCCCTGAGAAGTACCTCACTTCAGCAGTCCCTCTCTCTCTCTCTCTCTCTCGCTCTCTCTCTATGTATATGTATCTTTCGCTAAGTTCGAATCAACTGTGGACATCAGGATGGCGAACATGGTAAGATTATAATGGCGCAGGGCACCATGCGTCGCCGTTGTCAACGCCTCCAACGACACAGGATCGTTGGAACTGAAGTGAAATTAATATCCCGTTTGAT